TACAAGCATCCAGAAAGTACGAGGTCCGGATCCGCGTTCAGGTCCTGGTCCTGGTCGTGGTCATAAAATGTTACAAATAATGCGTATTTATACATTTTGGTCGAATAGGAAACAGCATCGAAGTCTGTGACATTGACAGTTAAGACGACCAATAGGAAGCAACATTTGAAGTGACATTGATAGTCAGGACAACCAATAAGAAACAACATTGAAGTACATGACATTGATATCTAGGACGACCATAAAATCGACCAGTGAGAATTAATCAATAGGAGTAGACCAATAATTCTCTTAGGATATTGGATGAATATCCTAACAGTATCCTACCAGCAACCAGAAAATACGAGGTTGTTAAGCACAAAAAATCAAGCTTATTTATACGATGATAGAAACACCCTTGGTGAGAGCCCTCAAAAAAGCGTACTAAAATAATCCATCAACCAGTGACACTCAAGAATTTTACGAGTGGGAAATGTAAACTGTATGTCAACTAAGCGTCTCTTGGCGCAAAAAATATAGAAATTCAAATTTTCAAAAATGATTTACGAAGTTAGGACTTTTTCCATTGTGAGTTCTGGCAATCTAACCGTCGCAACAATATCTTGCAAGAAATTTCTCTATATCAATATATGTCACAGGAATTTTATGCTTTTTATCATGTGATAGCCTATGAAAATTTCTCTTTCCCTCCTAATCCATGACGAAGTAGACGTTTGATAATAAAGTATTTTTTTTAAAAACAACAGTACAAACTGCAATTCAACCATTATGTATTATTCATATGAGATTTTAAACAAAGGTCATAACTTTGTAGTTTTTCTTAAGACCAACTTACTTAACCTCTGTTTTGATTATCACTGATCGATCGAACCTTGAACATAATATACATTTAAATTAGGCTTTCATAACCATAACATTAAATTAGATAGAATTATCAGTTGTACAGAATTAAAGTAAAGCTTGAATGTTAGTTGTATTGTAAGCGAAATAAAATATAAAATTGAGAAAATATATTTTGTGATAAAAAAATGAAATTAATCTGCATTATACTACTGATCGATTGGAGCTGAGAAAAATAAACACTGAATGAGGCTTTTACAACTACATGATCGGTTAGATAGAATTGCCGACAGTGAAGAACAAAGTGGAGTCGGAATATTAATCGTAATGAATATAACAGTAGCCAATTATACTACAAAATAGAGACAGACAGATACAATACAGAACTTCGTACATAAGTACATCAGTTCAGGTTGCCATACCACATCAGCACAGAGACGTAACTGTCAGTTCAAATCCAAGAGTGATAGCGATAGTAGAATTATTAGCAGTAATGGAGAAGATTAGGGAGCAAAGATATGATTCGAGAAGTATAATTCAGTAAGATAAATTTAGAAGGAGAAAGATAGAGATTATGAGGAATTCAGAAGGTTAGAATTTGAAAGAACACAAAGAGTGAATGCACTTGTGCGATTGCAAACGATTTTGAGCCATGTCGTTCAAGGTCTCTAATCATCGATTACTATCATATCGCAGGCCCCAACCAGGTAGTCTACACCTACCAACACGACTCAGTTCACTTGTCAGTGACTTCATGGATTTGTGCCATGTTTTGGTTTGGCCGCCCCTAACTTTCTTCCAACCTACTCCTACACTACAAAACATAGCTAGTCGAGGCAGTCGGTGGTTAGCCATACGTAAAACATGTTCCAACCACCTCAACTGATGAAGTTTCCAAACTCGATTTATTGATTCACCATCCCTACCTAGAACTCATTTTCCTAACGACAGCATTGCTTATACGGTTGTCCCATGATACACGAGCAATGCTTCGGAGACACCGATGATGGAAGACTAGTAAGCTACGAATGGCCTCTACTCTTAACGGCCATGTTCCAAAATAGAGAAAATATAGAAAATAAACAATATGAAATTCAATTGAATGTTAGAACATTTAGGCATATTTGGTTTAAAAAAAATTTGAAATCATGAGTAGTAGTCAGTCATTCACATTTTGGCTACGTGTTTCTGTTACGCATGCACGTAAACACGTCACTTTGATATGCTTGAACTATTACGAGTTTACCTTAGTCGGAAAACGAGAGTGAGGATCCGGCAACATGACATGCTACTTAAAACCGATTATCCCAACCCTCATATTGAGTGAAAATAAGAAGATTTGAATGTGAAGTAGAACCGGTATTCTACAAGCATCCAGAAAGTACGAGGTCCGAGTCCTAAAGAAAATCAGGATCTCGGACTAGGGATCCGGGACCGGATCCTGGTTATGGTCAAAAAAACTAAAAGACATTTTCAACCAGATCCGAATAAAATTGTGAAAAATACTATGTTAGTAAACAGTGTTTTGTGTTTTTCTCTAGATTGAGAACTATCAAAACTTCTCCAAAACATAATTCTACTTTCCTGTCATTATTATCGATCCTATTTGGATGATGATTTCTCATTACATCTCAATAATTCACGATTCTTTTCTAATATTTCATATTCTCTATTTTTTTTTGGACATCATCTTTATTTCTACTGTTTGATTTTTTTTTCCTTCTTCTTCATTTCATCTACCAGTCTGTTGATGATATTGAAACCAGTCATCCAGCTGCATATACTGGTGCATTACTTTATTCATCTTTGTCCAAATCATTTTTTGGTAAACGTAAAGTAAGTCCTCATCAATCAATATCATTTTATGTGTATATATATGCAGTGTTTTTTCTTCTCAGTTATTGTTGATTTATACCATGAATAAACATAAGGCCTCAAGAAGTTTTTTTGTGATTGATTAAGCGAGACCGAAGGGTTCGATTCTCGCGTGTGTGGTCATGGATGCACACTATTGATGAGTTCCGTACTAGTACGGAAGGTGATATTCAATGACCAGGGTCCCTGTTTTGAAAGACTGCGACGACAGCTTATTAAAAGGGGGGGACGAGTGTGGTGTGAGCTACTTATAAGTAGTATATGACGTGAGTGTCAACGTAATGTCTGGCAGCAGAAGATGAGGGAAGATCAAGAAAGGAAGAATTAGAAAACAATGGAATTTGTATGAAACGCATGAACAGTGAGTGACAATGGATTGATGTTTTGCAACAGGAACAGTCCAGTTCGATATGATGAACTGATATTTTGCAAATGAACGACTTACGATATGGTTTTCCTATTTTACTGAGTAACTCTATAATTTTCGTTAAATACAATCCGGTTGCCCCACTTGTGTTCTCGTTCACTACAATAGGACAAGACGGTCAATCAATGGTAGGTTAGCATTGATCAGTTCATTATCTCAATGATAGTTTGGAATCGATACATTTCACCAAACGTCTGTTTAAATGACAAGATAAATTATCATTACTGTTAATATCTTTCCTTATGAAGAATAACAAAATCCGATGTAAAATAACGATAGACAAGCAGTAGATACCATACGCAACTGTGCTATGGTCAACTCACAACTTTTTCTCCATTTTACTTTGATTTGGGTCAATTAATAGTATTAGTAGTATTATTGTGGTGAATACTACTCATAAGTAGTATGTGATGGAACGTTGTGTGTAGGTTGTTACAGTCGACAACCTTACACAAAATTTTCACGAGTTCTCAAGCTCGGTGTGTTGCGGAATAGTTTGGAAACCAGAAAAGAATCGAGAAAATACCGTCTGGAAACCAATATGGACTACAGAACACACCATAAAATGTAGATGTATAACTTAAGTAGACTAACTGTGCATATTGCATAAAAATTCTGTAAATTTGCTGAATAAACATTCCCTCTTGTTCAATACCTTCTTCATACTCTATCACTAGCTTTTATACTCTGGGAAACAGAAAATGATTAGTTTCTGAAATGTGCAAACAATGTGTATTTTTGATTATTGAGTGATTCCCATTATAACTTTACAGTAGGCAGTTTTGTAGATCGTCATTCTGTAACTGTAAATACAGTAACTTCACCTTGTAAGCGCTTATAGCGTTATCACGCTATTGCAGAACATATTGATAATAAGCATTTTATTAGTTATTTCGATAATCAAGTCAAAGCCGATATATCTCAAAAAGGAGTTGATCTTCTCTTTGTGTACATAAAATTACATGGTAAGAGAAAGATTTTTTTCAATACTGAACAATTAGTTTTGTTTGATATTTGAAGGTAATGATTTATTGAAAAAAATTGATATTTTCATCAAAGAGAGAGGCTATCTGGAAAAAAATGTTAAACAGAAACTTTTATGTGTTGTTGAGTTTTCTAAGCCATTCAATCTTGGAGCTTTTACAACAGCATCATCAGCATTCATTTGTGTCTAGAATGATGTTAAAAAAAAAATCGATACAATGAAACTTTCAAGTTTTCAAGGTTCATCAATAAGAAAAAATATTCATTTAAACTGTTTTTGTTTAGAATTTTTTTTTCTCTAAAAAAGTCTATCTGTTCATAATTTGTTAGTTGTGAAATCTAACACACAGTTGTTATATTGAATTGATTTGCACTTGAAAATGGATTGGTTAATTGTATTCTAGGCTGTTTTATTATGTTCATCATTAACTAATTCTCACTCACTCTTACTCTCACTCACTCACTCACTCACTCACTCATTCATTCATTCATTCATTGTAGCTTTAACTAATCGATTGTTGCGTCACAGTTTTATTGATTGTATGTGTCATGGACTTTAGTTCACTAAGTATACACAAAGGTGTACTTTAATATTACATCATGAGTACTTAATAATAATAATAATGAACTCAGAAATTTTATCGCTTAGTGGTTTCGTTTTGTATAACAAAGTTGTTTTATGCGAGATGAGGTTACTAACCCCCCTGTACTCAACCATTGATCACGGGTTTACAATCGCAGTATTAAACTAGTGCTGTGATTATTGTTTTCGGGATATTTTTATTTTATCTACTTTTTTTCAGTTTTCACACATTTGTAGTATCGTTTTTGCAAGTTCTGACGTTTCCAATCTCATTTACGATGAGATCTATAAATTAATCACAGGGAATTTTCTTCGCTAAACATTTAAACTATGGAGTAAAGCATATCTCATCAAGTACAGTCTGTAGTGGATGAACATGCCGTGAAAATTAACTTAGTGAAAGTTTATTTTCTCACCTAATAGTTAAACAATCATTATGTTTCTAAACAGCATCATTACTAACATCGTCATCATTAGTAGTATATATTTTGAAAAAGAAATTATTCATTAGGATTTATCTGCAATTTATTCACAAAATGAAAATGTTTCAATGAAAAAGATTTTCTTTTCGACGAAATCATTATTCTAGAAAAAAAAATATTTCTTATCTAGTAGTTTTTCGCTATAAGTTCTCCAATTATTAGGTGTTGAGGCAATTGAACAATAATAACAGATAGAGTTACGTAACGTTTGGAAGATTTGAATTAAAAATAACATGAAATTATCTAATCAGTCAATTAAAAGTAAGAATAGGAATTGAGATTTGATGCACACTATGTAGAAGGCTCAGGGCGGGGTTAGAGGCTATGCAGACGTTTTCTGTATATATGCAAAGATTCGGTTTTTATTGATATGTAATCCTATGGCTTCTGCTATTTGTCAAAGCCGGATTCGTGAGCTGGTGTCAACTAGATGCAACGAGATAAAGCTTCTTATTACTTTCTATTGCTCTTCAGTCATCCATAAAGAGTGATGTTCCGAAATACCATGATGCATTTGTCTAGTTGTACACCGACTGTAACACATAGAGGCAGAGGAACTACATCATTTACCAAAGAACGTAGAATATAATCTTACTGCATTGATTTTGTGTTTTAAGACCTTCAGTATACACCGAATTACTTCTTCACTGACTATGTCACCTTTGAACTGTAGTTTCAACAATATAGGCTTTTTCGGTAATGTCGGTGATTGTTCACATGTAATGACCTACAGTCAGTTAGGTAAATGTCACGGAATCATTAAACACAAATGGCTTTTAAACGACAAATTAAAAAAAAAACGACTGACTTATGACAATAGTTTAGATGAAAATTTTGTGAACGGCTCAGGCTATTCTCTGTGTTAAATCCTAACCCTAATCTTTTATTCTTCCATCATCTATCTTTGCACCTCTTTGGATTCTACGAATCGTAAGTGCTATTTTCGTTCTCAAACTCTTCAGCTTTACTTATTTATACTATAACAGTTTCTACTTTCAAAAAAATTATTCATGTGTTTTCAAGTTTTCGATGATTTTTGATTAGTTTGTTCAATGACGCAACTCTATTTTCATTTTAAACAATTAATAATCCTTGAAATCATGAATGGGTCATTGTTAGACCACCATGGGAGCACTGGACGGCCATTTCGTCCTGTCGTGTGATTCATCAGCATTATTTCAATGTAGAACAGTCAGTCAGATGCAACGTAGAACTTCGTACGTAAGTACATCAGTTCATGTTGCCATACCACATCAGCAAAGAGATATAATTGTCAATTCAAATCCAATAGTAGAAGAGGTAGTAAAGGTATTAGAAGTAATCGGAGAGGTTAAGATTAGAAGATATTATTCAAGAAATATGATTCAGTGAGAAAAGTTTAGAAAGTCAAAACTAGAGGTGTTGAAGAATCCAGAAGATTAGGATTTGAGAGAACACAAACAATGAACGTAAAAAGAACGTAGAACAATAATCTCCATTATACGATAATGCAAAATTATGAATCCCCTTTAATTAATTTGGATAATCAGATGAAAAGATGAAGGTTATCGAAATTATGTAATATATTTGCGCAATACATTTTGAATAGTCTGGTCGACACCCCAATATAACGTGTCTGTGTTACCCTACCATTCAGAGGTGGTTCAACTAGTCTTATGCTCTGAGATGAAGACTTAACTTAGTGCAGCCGAACTTATTATCATCGAAAAGTCAAGGTCTATGTTACACCAAAATCCCTTACAGCGTGTAAATGATTACATCGCATCCCAATGCATCTGTCAATTTACTTGTATGTGCGAACACAAATACAAAAGTTGATAGGAGGCAGTTGTGAGTTAAAAGTCAGGGTAGCTGAACACATGAGCAAATCCTTCATTGCGAAACATAGTTGATATTGAATTGTCTTTTATAGTTGTTACACAAAAGTATTCAAGAATGTATATACTAGGGTCAATCAAACTACATGAAAATGGAAACTCCTTAGTTTGGCCCTTTTATATTTTTCATATATAAAGACGTCTTAACGAGTATAAGCGTGACCAGATTGTTCGAAATGTATTACTTAAATAACTCTTTTTATTCAATACTTGAAATTTCCATTTCCATTGTCCTTTCACTTGACTAAGTTTGACTAACCATGGTAATTTGGTAAAATTGCCGGTAAATATGATTTGTACAATTACAGATAATGACATCGTCGAAAACATCATACTTTGTTTAATGATACAATTTACTATTACGATTAGTTGTACTGAGTTATTTGTTTCCAGCTTATTGAACACTGAACTCGGAGTATTCAGTTGCATCCTCTCTCTCTCTCTCTGTCCTAGTTAAAAAAACCTTCTTTATCACCACCCACCATCTTAAAATTGTGTAATTAAAACTTGCTCATTAAATGTTCAATGTTTTTTTGATTATCTAATTATTTGTTTATTTAATACTTTTTCTCTCTCTCTCTCTTGACTTCCTCTTTTACTCTATATCCTATTTGTATTACATTACACTTTGTGTTCATCTCTCTACACACACACATACACGCACACACACGCAATAAATAGATACCACGGAATGAAAGTTTTCATTCATTCGGTTCTGATGCAGTAGTCGATGAAAGTGAACACTTACTCTCTTCACCAAATCAATTATTACAATCATATATGTCAATATCCAATGATCATAACAATAACTACGACGATCTAGTGAATCATGGTGCTGCAGATGAAATAATCACAATGGAACATCCAATGCCAACCACATCGTTATCTAATTCTAACCGAATGTCAGGCTATTCAAAAATCAATTCACCATCATCACAATCATCATCTCGTCCCGGTGGTGAGTCTACCAAAAAATGGTGGCATCGTGTAAGCGATTCTTGTCATTCTGGTTGTTGCTGTCGAAGTACATCGAGAAAATGTAGAACTCGTACACTGAGAACAACTGGTTATGATCGCCTATTGAAATTAGAACATAAAATGCAGGTTTCTGCCAGTAGTATTTTAATGACTCTCCATTATTATCATTATTATTATTATTATCATTATTATGCTGTCATCATTTCTGCTTATTATTATTATTATAAATATTATTTATTGATAATATTAAATGATTTTGCCTTAAATTGTTTCAACTAATTTCTTAACTCTATTATGCTTTCTCTAAATTAGATTATTATTATTATTATTATTCTACGCTGTTGTGTGTGTGTGTGTGTCTATCAGCGCTTATTTTAATTTTTTCTAATGTATGTTTATTGATAGAATTTTTAAAGTATCAATAATGCTGAGTGTGTAGAGTTTTGTTTTGTTGTTTGGTGTTATATTTAATTTGATTTGAGAAAAAACACTGATCTCTTCTGCTGTTGTTTATTTCTTTTGCTATTATTATTTTTAATTCAACTAACCTAGTTGATATTTTAAACAAAGTAATTAATTTTGCTCTATTCATGTTCATTGTTCAATGTTTAAAATGAAGATAATCACAAGAGGGATGTTTGAAATAGTCTCGAAGAAAGAATCTGATGTCGACGGGACAATGAGTGTGTAACTACATGGTTGGAAGTCAGCTGACTTAATTTGCTCAGTTCGATGCAAAGATACGAATTAGTTATAACTGAACAGACGAATCCCGCGTACAGGTTTTTGTACTCGTTTACATTGTTTGGTTTGTGTGAAGACTAGTGATAATTTTATCTGCTCAACTAAACTTGAAGCAGATAAAATAGAGTTTGAATCTACAACTTACTAGTTGCGTGCTGTGAAACAGTACTCACTGAAAACAGTGTATGACGTTGCGCGAGACGGTGAATTAATCGAAGTTAGACATTAGATGCACCGTTAGATGCCGGATCAATGCTCCAGAGTTTGAAACCAAAGGTCCTTGGTTCGAATCTTTCAGGTAGAAGGACTCGTGAATGCGCACTGCTGATGAGTCCCATACCAGGACGAAATGGCCGTCATTCAGTGCTTCCAGGTTTCCAATGGTAGTCTAACATTGATCAATTCATGATCAATTCAAAAAACAACTCAACCACCATCTTCACAACCTTTTCATGCGAATCCTCTCTCTCTTGTGTTCAAATAGTGTAGATTCATATGGATCTTCCCCGTATTCTTATCTAGTATATTTCTGTTCATTGTTTTACATTAAATGATACTTGAATATAAAAAAATAAACTAACCATTTCTGCTGCGCTTTTATTTCATCATATGCGCTCTCATGCTCTGTAAATAAATTTTAAATTCAACGTTTTTACTGGTGAATTTTTGTTTTGTCAAGTTTATGTTTAACTGGAGTACGTATCATTGAAAGCTCCGGGATGGCAGTGTAGATATCTCCGCCAATATACATCGATCCTATTTTTCACGTTTCACTTCATACATAACACAACAAATAAAATTCAATAAGTTAAGAAGTCAATAGAAAGAAATTAATTTCATCTTTCATTTACATCTAAATTTTGAAAAATCCATTTTTAAATAAATAAACAAGATGTTAAATTATGGTAAGGATTTGATTTTGACCAATTTGGTCTCGTGTGCTGGTACGGGTATCAAAGCGGTTGTCACTTCCCGGCTGCCCACACCGTGGAAGGTTGTTTCTTGAGGGACCTGAAAAGGAAGATAGATTAGAGTTGGTCTTGGAGATCTGGGTGCGTGACCTCAGAGCCCAGGAGACAACTGATTAAGGCCGGTCACGCACGGCCTTTTTATTACAGGTATTTTGAGTATCAGCTCCGTTCTTGAAAGCCCTTAGTGGGCACCCTTACCCAAGGAGATGGAAATCCGTGAGGTAGGGAGAGGTGTGACATTTTTAGGGTCGATATTTTCTAACCCTTCCTCCCTTGTGAAAAGGCAGCATCGCTGCAGATGCTGGTTGTCCGAGGGGAACACCTTACTGCTGTCACACCCCTCTGCAGTCAGCAGTACGACTTCGCCCTCAGACCTTGGGTAGCTGCTTTTAGTCCCATCGCTCTCCAATCGACCTGCCTGGCATGGTATAACCTTCAGGAACATATGTTTTAGCCAATATAGCTCGGTTGGTTCATCACGACAGTCAAGCCCGACCACCACGTCAAGGTAGCAGCTACGATCGGTCTATCTTATCTTACTGAATTATACTTCTCGAATCATATCTTCGCCCCCTAATCTTCTCCATTACTGCTAATACTTCTATTATTGCTATCACTGTTGGATTTGAACTGACAGTTGCGTCTCTGTGCTGAATGGGCCATGGCAACCTGAACTAATGTACGTACGTACAAAGTGGTGCGTTGAATCTGTCTAAATTATGGTAAGTGAAAAGAAAATGACACTATGATTATTATTCAAGAGATGAAAGTATAATTAATGCCAATCGCCGCACCATTGCAACCTTATTTCAGCATCCATATCTCACAATATATCGCCGGTAAATTGATAACGATTTTTTGTGTTGTGCTAACCATCCTCCTATTCAAATATTATCAACTTACCAATATATGATCAGTAACTTGATAAATCTGCTATTTTCTGAAGTATTCTCATTGTATAGCAGTTACTAAATAACTAAATTATTACATATATTTATTTATATTCCTTTTTGTCGTAAGCGCTTGATTGACGACCCATTAACTAACTGATTTTGTATGACTTACTATATATATAATTTTTCGCCAGTTTACCATTCACAAACAATTCTACTCATAGCCAGCCACTTTTGAATTGCTCTTGCATAAATATATTTCTGCATTTTTATGGTGTGATATGCTCTGGTCCATTTTGTAATATAAACTATATCTCCTAGAAATATAGAGAATTTTGTAGAGGGTCGTTTAAGGTTTATGGAGTAAGAGGCAAGATAGAAAGAAATCAACTATCGAGTTTGTGAACCAATAAGAATTTAAAGCTAACTCAAGGCTACTGATACTAGAACAGAATTCTGATTGGTGTTTTGTATTTGTCACGTGACACTGGTCAACGGTTAGGGGATACAATAAAATTAATGTCGCGTGAATGAAGATTAATGTTTTTCACAGATTAATACCTTGAAAAACTATTGAAAGATTGTCAGCACTAGTATAACTTCAACCTTTGGTTTAGTTCGCGTTTAGTCAGGATGATGTACCTTGTGTGTAGGGTGTGTGTGTGAGGAGCAGCGTGTGCGGTTATCTGGAAGAAGAAAGAACAAGAATAATAGCTGAGCCGACAACTCAATAGACAGCAACCAGAAATAAAGCGAGCATTAGATCAAGACGAACTGATAAACGAAGCCAGAAGTTGTAAGAGTAAGCTTTCGAATGCATTACACTAGAATTATATGACAATGGCGTCATATACCATTGACAATGGAAATAAAGTTGTTCATGTCATTACTTCATAGAATTCGATAAATTTTGAATAGATGTTCAGCTCGATTAGTTTTTATTTTCTAAAGCGATAAATGAAGAGCATATTGATTTTCTTTGAAATCTCAAGTTTGAAGGTGTTGTATCGTTATCGCTACACAAATCATGTTCTTTCGCCATTATGCTAATTACTTGATGCATATTTTTTGCTTTCTCTCTCTCTCTCTCTCACTTATTCCACAGTTTAATTTATTTTACATTTTCGTTGTAAATAATAAGATTTCAGTTCCTTTGTTATTGTTATTATTGTTGTTGATTTCATTTCCTTTTTCTCCCCTAAAATTCATAGGCAAATCTTCGTGTATGTGATTCAAATTGGTCAGATAAATTTTCATTGGATACAGTTGGTAGTTCAGGTCGTGTATATTGTACAACGAAATCAAAAATGTCTTATCAAGTTAGTTGTCACATAATATTGATTGTCTTTGTTTGTTTGTTTTTTTCGCTTTAAAATTGGCAATCAATCTTACTTTGTGATAATATGTCCAATAAAATTAAATGTAGGACTGATTGATCGAAGTGTAAAAACAGAGAATATCTTTCTACATTAAATAATATAAGAGACTATCTTATTTACTTACGTCTGTTACCCTTAATGATGCATAGGTCGCCGACCAGCGTTCTACAACCTACTTTGTTCTGGGACTTCTTTTCCGGTTCTATTCAATTCCTGTCCATGTTTTTAATGTCTGCTTCCAATTCTCGGCGTAATATGTTCCTTGGTCTTCCTTGTCTCCTTTGGCCTTGAGGATTCTAAGTTAGGGTTTGTCTTGTGACACAGTTGGATGCTTTCTTCAACATGTGTCCTATCCATCTCCAGTGTTTCTTCCTAATTTCTTCATCACCTGGAATTTTATCTGATCTATCCCACAATTGGTTGTTGTTGATGATGTCTGGCCAACGGAAGAGGTTATTTTACGCAGCAAAGTTTATTTCACTTTGATCCAGCTTACTAATTATTCTGCATATTGTATTGATAAACTCTATATTCTAGTTTATATCTAATTGTTGATTGAATTTTCGGATTATTGAGTTGAATGTATCAAGTGATCAACTGGAATTGAAAGAATCTAGTCAGCGCTAACAACTAAAGTAACCTAACATTGATCACCTTGTATAAATGATTCATTACTAACTTGGATGGCAAATCAATAGATGAAGCATTGAAACTTCATCAGTTGAGGTGGTTGGGACATATGTTACGTATGCCCAACCACCGACTGCCGCGATGAGCTATGTTTTGTTGTGCAGGAGTAGGCTGGAAGAAAGATAGGGGCGGCCAAACCAAAACATGGCAGAAATCCATGAAGTTACTGACAAGTGAACTGAGTCATGTTGGTAGATGCAGGCTCTATGGTTGGGGTCCGCGAGACGAAAGTCACTAATGGTTAGAGACCTTGAACTACATGGCTCAGAATCGTTTGCAATGGCGCAGGTGCATCCACTCTTTGTGTACTATGAAATTCTAAGCTTCTGCATTCCTCATAATCTCTACCTTTCTCCTTCTAAATTTATGTTACCTAATTATACTTCTCGAATCATATCATGGATAGTTTGGTTGTGGAGCTTTCATTGTTCTTTTGAACAACATTATCAACACAAACTTCTATCTGAAGTTTGTACTGATGATAAACTACAAATCTTCTCCTCCATCTCAACTGTTTGTGAGATATGTCCCATGTAGTAAAATACCTTTCTCCTTGTTTCTAACTATCTAACAATATAAGCAGAGATAGAGGATCTAAATAACGTTTTTTTTAATGACAAGAAAATAACACCAACAGTCATTCAAACTATCCTATCAAAGACAGCGATTTTATAACAGCAGTTTTATTAATGTTAAAATGGTTTGCGTCATAAATTACTGATATAACGGTTCCTGCGATGTTTTTCCTTATTATCTACTGTATACTACAAAGAGATTAAATTGGTGATCAAGTTTACACTATAACTGGGTTAGATACTCGAACAGTCCAGTACAGTACACAGAGACTAGATGACATTACGTCAGATACCTGATTCAATACCAAATTAGAAACTCGGAGGAAGTGATAGACAATACGTTATTCGGTACAATTACAAGTGGTCATACTCGGTCAGTTCAGAACAGAAATTACTAAGGTGGAGAAAATCACATCATTTGACAACCAATAGGCTAAGTGCTTATGTGGCCAAGTCCGATGACCGATTCGATCTTACTTTCGTTACTACATATCAAGACCAAATCTTCCAGATTCTCTTGTATCATAGTTCAGTACTTTGTATACTGGAGATCGTTTTTGTAAATTGATTTTGTCATTGTGAATCGTTTAATAGTTGGCGTTTTGAAATTGCAGATATTACGTAGTTGTTGTTTTATTCTTTCACTCATTCCTTATGGATTCGCATAAAATTTTATGGAGAAACAAAATATTCGCAGTCGTTTCACTCAGTCAGACAATCTGTCAGCAACAACGTAGAACTTTGTATGTACGTAGGTACGTCAGTTCCCATACCACATTAGCACACAGATGCATTTGTCAATTCAAATCCCATAGTAGTAGAGGCAGTAGGAGTATTAGCGGTAATGAAATAAATTTAAGAAGGGAAAGATAAAGGTGATGGAGAATTCAGAGGATTAGAATTTGAGAGAAGACAAGTAGTAGATGCACCTGCGCCATTGCAAACGAGTTTTAGTCATGTTGTTCAGTTTCTCTAACCATCAGTTACTATCGTCTCGCGCACCCCGACCAGGTGGTTTACATCTACCAACATAGCTCAGACTAGTTGTGAAAGACTGCATGGATTTGTGCCATGTTTTGCTTTGACCGCCCCTAGTTTTTTTTAGCCTACTACTTCTGACAATATCGCCCCTTCATTTAATTTTATTGCCTTTCTTTATCTTAAAATTGATCATTTTTTCCAGTTTTTGTGTTTCCTGAAATACTAGTCTTCCGAATTTTCTCATTACGTTTACCTCTCTCTTTTTAAATTTTTCTCACGGAATTCTACTTCTTGAATTATACCTTCGAACCCTAATCTCTCTGATTACTGCTAATACTTCTACTACGTCTACTACTATGAGATTTGAATTGACAATTGCATCTCTATGCTAATGGGGTATGACAACTTGAACTGATGTCCATATGTACGTACGTACGAAGTTCTACGTTGTAGCTGACTGATTCACTAACGAACAAAACACAATTTTCAACAATAATTATCAATATGTAGAATATAAATTATAACAACCTTGTGTAAATTATTTACATACAGAGGTTTATAGTGATTAACTGATATCATGTCGTCTAGATCTTAGTGTCGGTCAAATTCTATCAATCTCTTTGAAGTATATTTTTACTTGATGAACTAGTTTGATGACAACATCCTAATGAATAGGTGTGTCCAGTAATAATTTAACATTCTTTTTCTATTAATGATTTTCATTATATGAGGCTTATAATATAAGAGTAAATTGTACTTGAAATAATATTTTCTCGCACCATTTTTCTTTCTACAGGTTGGAGTGAAAATCAATTTATCTAGTTCTGGTTTAACAAAAATTGTTACCTTTATGCCTTATTTCATGATTATCAATAAAGCTGATGTAAGTGTTCATTGTTTGACAATGCCTTTTTTGAAAAAAAATCAATACTATTATTATTATTATTATTATTATTGGGTTATCGATAATTATTTGTATATTGTGCCTTGATTAGCGCTCAAATTTCCCACTATTTACTCAAATCACTAGTTACTTACTATCTATTAGTATTACCAGTGCTAAACTGTTTACTTACTTGCTTTCGCCTGTTACCCCCAATAGAGTATAGACCCGCCGACCAGTTTTCTCCAACCTACTCTTTCTTGGGCTTCGCTTCCTAACTCTGTCCAATTTTTGTTCATTCTTCTCATATCTTTCTCTATTTCTCGGCGTAATGTGTTCTTCGGCCTTCCTCTTTTCCTTTTACCTTGAGGGCTCCATGTGAGGGCTTGTCTTTTGATGCAGTCCAGTGCATTTCGCAGTCTGTGTCCTATCCACTTCCACCGCTTCTTCCTGATTTCCTCCTTTACTGGAATCTTATTTGTTCACTTTCACAATAGGTTGTTGCTGATAGTGTCTTGCCAATGAATCTGAAGTATTTTGAGTAGACAACTGTTCATGAATACTTGTATCTTGTGGATGATGGCTTTGGTAGTTCTCCAAGTTTCCGCTCCATACAGTAGAATTTTGTGTTTATTTTTAATTGTTCACTTGTTACACAAGACTGACTAAAACAGGAGCAATATATGTACTGAAGATTAATAGATAGGGTTCTGTCTTTCAATATTCAATTGATTACAAAATTAAATTTCTAGTGTTCCACCACTTTAGTGTAAGCCATTTGTCTCTTCATTAAATAAAAAACCGAATCAAATTAACATCATGATAAGTTTACTAAAACGAATGCTAGATCTGATTTCCTAGCCACTTCTGTTAAACCCAGACTAAATCTTCATGTCCATTTGATGAACAGAAGAAAAAAAGTATGAAGTACGAAAAAGAACTCTTTACTCCAAAGTTGTTTAGTTTATTACAAATAATTTGTGGGTTGTTAGAAGTTGCCGGAAACATGCCAAATATATAGTATCCGTATCGGTAAATATCTAATCAAAACTGTAGCACGGGATTCTTCGTTATCTAGATGCTTCTGTGAAGGTTCTACTCAGTGACATCATGAAACAACGACATTTCTCGGTGTTTGTTTTGGAGGTCCCCGGTGTAGCAGCAGCCTCTGCAGCAGTAGGTCTCAACATACATAAAGGAAAAAGCGAAATTCTCCGATGCAACACAACATGCACCAACCAAATCACTCTTGATGGAGATGCCTTGGAGGACGTTAACACCTTTACATATCTGGGCAGCATGATCGACAATCAAGGTGGATCCGATGCAGATGTGAGGGCGCGGATTGGCAAAGCAAGGGCTGCATTTCTACAGTTGAAAAATATCTGGAACTCCAAACAAATATCAATCAACACCAAAATCAGGATTTTCAATACAAATGTGAAGACAGCTCTACTGAATGGAGCGGAAACTTGGAGAACTACCAAAGCCATCATCCACAAGATACAAGTATTCATGAACAGTTGTCTACGCAAAATACTTCAGATTCGTTGGCCAGACACGATCAGCAACAACGTATTGTGGGAGAGAACAAGTCAGATTCCAGTGAAAGAGGAAATCAGGAAGAAGCGGTGGAAGTGGATAGGACACACATTGCGAAAAGCACCTAACTGCCTCACGAGACAAGCCTTCACATGGAACCCTCAGGGCAAAAGGAAAAGAGGAAGGCCAAAGAACACACTGCGCCGAGAAATAGAGAAAGATATGAGAGGAATGAACTAACATTGGACAGAACTGGAAAGGGAAGCCCAGGACAGACAGAGTAGGTTGGAGAAAACTGGTGGGCGGCCTATGCTAGATTGGGGGTAACAGGCGTAAGTAATAAAAACTTTTCAAAAGAATTCGTTGAAGTTCTCTCCTACCTATCAGCCTACAAGTAATATCATGAAGTAAATCAAATACTTACACTTAATCACTAAACATTAGAAATGAAAGTTTTTGACTTATTTAGAATATTACAATTACATTACATCATTAGTTTGACATGTTGTAGTTTTACACATATTTTTTCACTATCATACCAGTTATCATTCATCTTTCTCTTCAACTAGATTGATATTGAATGTTTTGAAGTGGATGACACTGAAACAAAATCATCACAACCTCGAAATATCGAATTCATAAAAGTTCCTGCTGGTGAAGCTGTACCATTTTGGCCGTATGCAATCAATTCAAAGAATATGTTATTGAAATGTCGTATCACAGAGAATAATGTGACTGCAGCATTTCCATTCTATGAATCACATACAATTTTAATGAAATTAGAAGGGAAAGTAAGTAGAGTTTATCCTTTTTCTTGTATGTGACTTAATTTAAAAACCTTATGGTTATTTCTAAGTTCATAGATGCAAACCATTATTGGCTTGAATTATATTTTCTGGTTAGCATTTTGCTTTAGCGAGTTGATTTTCTATGGGATGGGGTTGCTAACCTCATGATGCCTGACCCTCTTCCTTTATCCGCGCCTGGGACCGACCGTAACCTCAAAAAGACTCCAGGCGGAATAATAGGAATCATTATAAAAAATTCTGGAAATAATAAATTCCGTATTCATGTCAGTTTTTAGTCATAACCGGCTTGACATAGACAGAAATGTTTCAATATGTAAAGGACGGAAATGTCATATTAGATTGTCTAAAGTGTTCTAGTTCGGATAATTTTTAGGAAATGCATTTTTTACATATATTACAATTATACAATATTTGGGAGCAGAGTTTTGGACGTTTGTGTTTTTACACATTTGAAATCATCAATCAATCATTGTTAGACCACCATTAAAAACCTAGAAGCACTGGACGGCCGTTTCGCCCTGGTATGGGACTCATCAGCAGTGCGCACCCACGACTCCTGCTCCTCGCAGGATCCGAACCCGGGACCTTCGGTATTGTAGGCGAACGCCTTACCATCGGACCACCGGGCCGGCATCCAACGGTGTTAATGTCTAACTCTGATTGATCTACGGATTTTGCGCGACCTCACCCATTAGTCTTTGGTAGTTACTGCCTACACCCGACAGTGTTGAACTCTATTGGTCACGTCTCCTCAACTAGAACTCCAAGAATTTCCTCACGAAGCTAGTCACTGGTGAGCACTGTTACGATATTTTCGGGCAGAGTTTTGGAGGTTTGTGTTTTTACACATTTGAAATTATCAGGAGCTACTAATTCTTTTTAACTTCACATCCTGTTCGCTGTATGATCGGTGTAGTAAATACCTTTCCCAGTTTCATATCGGATTGGTGATAAAATCCTCAATACCTAGAAAAAATAGAACGGAAACAGAAAACAGAGAACAACATAAGTAATAATTAAAGCGATAAGTCAGTTTGCCATACCATGATTCAGTGTTTGGGTTTAATGCTATTCAAATTAGTTTAGTCTGTACGGTGAATAATTATGTTATACTCGTCTCTAGGTATGCTTAAAACTATTACGGGTTCACCGTAGTCGAATAACGAGAACAAAACAATGAACCAGCGTCCAGATAGGCTACTGTGATCCCCTGAACCAGTTGTACCAGCAAGAAATCTTGATATAGCGTGGAAAGTGTATTCTACAAACACCCAGCTAGCACACAAATCGCGTTTATTTATGCACCATAGAAACGTCCTTGGGACAGTCACAAAAATAGCACACTAAAATAACACAGTAACCAACCACAGCCAAGGACTTTCCGATTAGGAAATGTGATCTCAAGGTCAACTGGTCGGTCCATGAAATAAATCCAAAATAAAGATATCAAGCGAGTTCTGGGGATCTAACATCCCCAACAAATTACCAACATCATAATTGTCAAATCCTTTAGTGCCAACCGAATTCGACCAATTATGTTGTAAAATACGGTCACTAGTTTAAGTTACTCGACTTCCAGCTTTAAGATATAAACTGGTGGCCAACAGGGAACTGTGCTCGACCTATGTTCTGGACCGCTTGGGGATTTATCAGTAAGTTCATCCTTGTCATCTTGAAGGAACTGATGTTGTTTGTTGAACTTCAATCCGCATTACTCATTCTCATAGTTTGACGCATACATTGCTATTGATCTATTCGGGCCTCTTAAATAGAGATTGTGATAGATAGTAAGTGAAAATTTCACATTATCAAACTACCGAATTCCATATATATACTACTTATTTCTTCTTGCCTTCTTTTTTTTACACAATACAAAATCTATTCAGTATCCTGGTATATTTGTTGAAGTGGAGACAACTGAAGAAACCACTGTCATTACTTTGCAAATGTATCAAGAAGGCATGGCTTTAGTGCGTCTTGTCAATCATTTAAATGATTCACAACCAGTGTTTTATCATCAAAGGTAAGTTGTTATGACAGGAAAACAATAATAATAATAATAATAATAATAATAATAATAATAATAATAATCAAATGCAGGTTTTTTTCTGTTCGCTTGTGTTATTTATCCCAAAGATTGTATTCTATGTAGTACGGATGCTCCTCACTTAGGTAATAATTTCCCTGAGGTGTTCTCACCACTTTATGAATCAAGAATATCTATCGAAATATAGCATATTTCATTTTTAATATTGGCTATGTCATTCTAAGTAATCAATCTGCCCATTTGATCTCTGAATGTGTATTATATCATATATCTGCAATAAGAGTTTAATAGGTGTGTACATCGTATCATCACGACCCCACCATAGCCGCCACTGTAACGAGTTATATTAGCTAGAACACATGTCCTACCATACCATACAGGTCAATTTGAGAACGGTAAGATTAAGCGCAATAAACTCATCATAGTCCGAGGGCGACGTCGACTTGCTAATCTTAGAGGAGTGTGACAACATTGAAGTGGTTATTTATCTCTGACAACTAGCATTTTGCAGTGCTTCTGCCTGCAAAAGAAAGATTCGCAAAATGTCACAACTCACTTAATCCTGTGGATTTCTGTCTCTATGATTTGGAAAATGTTTTCACCTATTGATTTAACTGATTTATAGATCGATCGACTAGCAATCAAGTCGACCAAACTAAATGACACTGTAAAACGGCTTTTTTTCAAATAAACAGTTTAAATTATGAACAAAATGTTCAATTAACACTGCAATATCGAATGTGCGGAGATTACGCTCTCCCTCTCCAAATGCTCCTTTTATGACCATGTGTGAATAGCCGCTGCAGCGGAAGTCGTACTCTCCACCTTCTTTCTGTGAAGGTGTTGTTTACGGAATTGTGAGAAAGAAAACCAAGTGTCTGGCGTATAAACCGGGTTACTAGGCATGGATGATCCAACTAAGAGAGCTTGAAGATCCTAATTCCAAACCATTGGTTCACATTGGCTCCAGAATCCTGACTGATCGAATGGCCTATGTACCTAGTGTTGATGACTGATTACCATGAGACTACATCTTTTGACGTTGTACCACTGCATTGTGGATTTGGGTCAAAATCTCGGTGAGTGCCCCCCACCGGAAAACTACCCGCTTCGTTTTGGACGTCCACTCACAAATTCAATCATTTATTTGGTGTATAAATACTTAAGTGGTCCTTTGTACCGATGTTTATGAGCTTATATTATTGCAAAACTAATCAGTATACTATAAACCCCTCAATTTTTTATTTTCTAGTGGACTTCAACACACAGTTCATCGATTAGATGCTGGTATGTCAATTATGTATGCATGGGATTGTCCTAGTGCAAAACGTGAACTAGTTTTCTATTGTAATGAAACTGGTCATCATCATTCAAATAAGTTAACTTATGTAAGTTTCAGTTGTGATTTATCATGTTAATAATCTTAAATTATACATATTGAATAAAAAGTAGTTATCATTGAATAACAATCAATATTTATGATATTAATGCAGTGGAATGTGAGAAATAGAGATAATTTTCATTAAAACTATCAATCAAACAAGATAATAATCATTTATTCATTTAATAATTTTACTTTGAAGTAGATTTTTCTTTGCACGATAAGTGATGTTTTGTGGTGTAGAAGTAGGTTGGAAGGAAGCTAGGGGCGGACAAATCAAAACATGACAGAAATCCATGAAATCACTGACAAGTGGATTGAGTCATGTTGGTAAATGTAGACTACATGGTTGAGGTAGGTGCGCGAGACGATAGTAACTGATGGTTAGAGAGACCTTGAATGACATGGCTCAAAATCGTTTGCAATGGAGCAGGTGCATCCACTGTTTGTCTTCTCTCAAATTCTAGTCTTTTGAATTCCTCATCATCTCTATCTTCCTCTTTCTAAATTTATTTCACTGAATTACACTTCTTGACTAATTTCTTCCGCGCCTAACCTCCATAACCGCTAATACTTCTACGACATCTATCACTCTTGGATTTGAACTGACAGTTGCGTCTCTGTGCTACTGTGGTATGGCGACCTGAACTGATGTACTTACGTACCAAGTTCTACGTTCTGACTGACTGACTGGCTGTTTTTTGAAAGAAGCTGTATCTAATTTAATTAATTAACTAATCAACTTAAGAGGATGACAATATGCTTGTTTATGATTTTGCTACGATATTTTAAAGTTTTTAGATTCGATTACTTATATAAAATATAAATGTACACTATGTGAAGTAGTTTCAATTTTAAATGTGAAAGAGTTCATCAATTGTATTGAGTTTTCAAGAATCCTTAAGCTTATCCATAAATTTATAACTAAATAGGTCATGGTGGATGCCCACTTCACTAAATGCCCACCGACAATCATGAACATAGATTAGACGTCAAAATTCTAAATCAAAGGGATTCGGACAATGTGAGAGAATAACTTTCTTACTTACTTACTCATGTTACCGCCTTTCTAGTTCTCTCCAATTGTTGTTCATTCTTCTCATGTCTGTCTCCATTTCTCGGCGTATTGTGTTTTTCGGCCTTCCTGTTTTCCGTTGGCTTTGAGGATCCCAAGTGAGGGCTTGTCTTGTGATGCAGTTGGGTGCTTTTCACAATGTGTGTCCTATCCACTTCCTGATTTCTTCCTCTGCTTGAATCTTGTTTGTTGTTCTCTCTTCCACAGTAGGTAATAGGATAACTATAATAAGTCTGTAATTCAGATCAAGAAGGTCAACAGTAAACACGTTTTGATCCGATCTATCGACCTATACGATAATTTTCAATCAATCACATGATCAAAGCTTAACAGAACAAGATAACTAACAAAAATCCAAGTATAAACAAAGGTTAATGCTTTTAAACTACTCTTGAACTGAAAAAAACATCATATTTCCTAGTTTTGTATTGTACATTCTTTAAATGATGAAATATCTAATATTCGATGTCTTTTTTTCTATATAAATGAGTGTATACTTTTACCAAACCGTGATTATATAAACATGAAGATGAAATCTTTAAATTATTCACCATTTACCGACCTAACTTTTTTTTAAAAAACTTTATATCATACAAAAATGATTAAGGAATCTTGACAAATAGTATTTCACCATAGAACAAGTCTATCAATCTAATAATAAACTGTATGTGAAGAATGAGTGAAAAGGAGAGCGAGTGAATGAGAGTTCAAATCTCTACACTTAATCTAAAACGAATTGCCAGTATTATTGTTACGGCTGTTGTCTATCTCATGTTTTTGATACTCTACACTAAGCATATACATTGAATCAGACAAAACTTGCCCTTTCAGAATTATACTACTGATTAATGTATTTTTTTTAAAAATAATTACAGGATTGTATTGAAGAATTTAAAGTGAATAATACTAAAGCTTATTGGGTTTCATTTATGTGGAATATGCAACGTATACTGTTATTTACACAAGATGTAAATGTTGCTAAAAATGCTAGATTAGTAAGTAGTCAAGTGTCATTTGGATTTCTTTTTTTTCATTGCTCGTGTTATGATATTATTATTATTAATAATTGCATAGTTGTTTTTAACTATGCTGATGGCCTGGTGTCTCAGCGCGGTTACAGAAGGCTTGATTGGCTTTCGCCAACTTGCGTCACTTATGACATAGGCGAGATATCTGTCTGCTAACCAAAGGACGAGTCTACTGCGCAGCAGTTCGCTCCGTCCTACAATATGGATGAGAAACATGGCTAATAAGAGTAGAAGATATTCGTAGGTTACTGGTTTTCGATCATGAATGTGTCCGAAACATTGCTCGTTTATCTTGGGACTATCGAGTATGCAATGCAGTTGTTAGGAAACGAGTACTAGGTAAGTATGGCAGGTCAACAAATGAAGTGTTGAAACTTCATCAGTTGATGTGGTTGGGGCATGTGTTACGAATGTCCAACCACCGACTACCTCGACAAGAATCGAACCCGGGACCTCCGATCCTGCGCGTAAACGCCCAACTTCTGAACCACTGAACCGGCGTCTTACTGTTGATGAGTTGCATACCAGGACGAAACGGTCGTCCGGTGCTTCCAGGTTTCTAATGATGATCTAACATTGATCGATTCATAATTTTGAAAAATAAACCACCAATCTCCACAACCCTATTATGCACACTATCATGTGCTCCCTAGTGACTAGCTCGGTGATGAAGTTTCTCCGAGTTCTAGTAAGAAGTCGTGACCAGTGGTGTTCAACTCTGTTCGGGTGTGACACAATGCTCACCGAAGACTGTGTTTCAAAGTTGTGTAAAACCGTGGATTGATTGAGGTTACATATTAACACCGTTGGATGCCAGCTCAGTGATCCTGAAGTCAAGCGTTTGCGCGCAAAACTGAAGGTCGTGGATTCGAATCCTACGACTGGCAGGATTCGTGGATTCGCACTGCTGATGATTCCTATAGTAGAACGAAACAGCTGTCCAGATTTCGAATGGTGATTTAACATTGATCGATTAGTGACTTCAAAAGTTATTCATTAAATATTCAGCCTTATCGGTTTGACCTACAAAAACGCTGATAATCTGTTAAATTTGAAAACATATCGACAGAAACAAAATGATATTTTCTTCGAAAGCTATATCTCCTTTTTATTTTGTGAAGTTGATATCATTGTTTTATTGAGAATGTCTATCGTTTCAACGCTGATAAAAATCATCAATAGACATTTTTTTATCAAGTAAGTAACAAATTTTCATCATGCTAATTCATACTGTGGTGTGAGCTACTTATAAGTAGTATATGACGTGAGTGTCAACGTAATGTCTGGCAGCAGAAGATGGGGGAAGATCAAGAAAGGAAGAGTTAGAAGAACACAATGGAATTTGTATGAAACGCATGAATAGTGAGTGACAATGGATTGATGTTTTGCAACAGGAACAGTTCAGTTCGATATGATGAACTGATATTTTGCAAATGAACAATTTACCATATGGTTTTTCGATTTTACTGAGTAACTCTGTAATTTCCGTTAAATACAATCTGGTTGCCCCACCAGTGTTCTCGTTCACAACAATAGTACATCTACACTGTCATGTAAATATTTTTCTTTACCATATCATAATCTATAATCAACTGAATGAAATCATATTTTGTGATATTTATGTATATTGTGAATCTTTGTATGTACTTGTGTGTGTATGTGCGTACACAATCACTTTTATTTTACTTTCTAGAGTTCTGATCTTGAACCGATTGATCAAGAGATTGTGGTTTCTCTCCAGTCCATTGGTATTTCATTGGTAAATAATGCTACACGAGCTGAATTAGCTTATATATCTATTATAAGGTTAGTTTGGATTTTATTGATTAGTGCGTTTGTGTATGATACCTAGTGTTTTTTATCCAACTGTTAGCCGCCAATCATAACGTATATGCATATATATACATACTTTTCTTCTTAAACACTCAGGAAAGAATCAGTAAGTTACAACGTAGAACTTCGTACGTAAGTACATTAGTTCAAGTTGCCATACCATATTAGCACAGAGATGCAATTGTCAGTTCAAATCCAATAGCGGTAGATGTCGTAGAAGTGTTAGCGGTTATGGAGAAGATTAGGGTACGAAGACATGATTCGAGAAGTATAATTCAGTAAGATAAATTTAGAGGAATTCCGAAGATTGGAATTTGAGAGAACACAAAGAGTGGATGCACTTGAGCCATTGCAAACGATTTGAACCATGTCGTTCAAGGTCTCTAACCATCGGTTACTATCATGTCGCGGACCCCAATCAGGTAGTCTACATTTACCAACATGACTCAATCCATTTGTCAGTGACTTCATGGATTTGTGCCTTGTTTTGGTTTGGCTGCCCCTAGCTTGACATCAACCTACTCCTACATCACAAAACATAGCTTGTCGAGGCAGTCGGTGGTCGGGTATTTGTAACACATGTCCCAACCACCTCAACTGATGAAGTTTCACTACTTCATCTATTGATCTGCTATCCTTACCTAGTACTCGTTTCCTAACAACTGCATCGCTTACTCGGTTGTTTCAAGATACACGAGCAATGCTTCCCCATGAAAGAATAATGGAGAACAGTAAAGGATAATAGGTAATAAGCAAGACTCAACAAAATTATTAGTAAATATCGATTGATGCAAAATGCACGCTTTGTACAGTCTTGCTTATCACCCAATTATCCTTTATTGTTCTTCATTATTCCTTCTGGGGCTTTTGAGAAGCAATTCCTCGATGTTATAGAAAATGTTGAAGGTAGTTAAAACAGAGTTTGTAGCGAATCTTTTGAAATCATTATGAGTATGGTGACCGATAGACATTTAAAAACTTGCAAACTGTTAACTAGTGTCTTATCTGCTACTAACCATCCGATCCATTCGCATCTTTCTCTCTGTATATCTTCTGATAGAACAACACACCAATCAATACACTGAAATCCGTGCACTCAAGCAAGAAGCCTCTTATTTTCTTCGGTTGATTTTGTACTGGTGATTTATTGGAATATTTCTTGATAAGAATTGCACGTTGTGCTAAACATACAACATATTATTCATGATTAGTACCTTCAAGATCTACTTTATCACACATTCATAAACACAAAACGAAGCATAGAAAATATAAGCCGTGACCCTGTTCGAGTGTGAAGAAGTGCTCATCGAAGACAGTGGATGAGGTTAATCAGGGATTGATTAAAATTTGACATTAACACCGTTGAATGTCAGCCTGATCGGTGGTATAGAGGATAAGTGTACCCGCGCGAGACTGAAGGTCCTGAGTTCGATTCCCGCTCACAGAGATTATGGATGCACAATTCTGATCAGTATAACATTGATTGATTCATGGTTTCGATAAATTAATATTGTCATTGACGAAAAATTGTCCACCAATCATCATCAGCGCACTGCTGATGAGTACCATACTGGTACTAAACAGCTATCCAACTCAATAACCTACATAACTCAATAATGAAAGAATGGAAAATATAGTCTAATATTTGAAACACTTCAATCATTCATGGTTAGATGCTTCTACGTTACGTATGATTGACTGACTTTAAGAAAAATATCTATTATCTGACTGACTAATGAAAGATTAACGTACGTACACTGATTTCTACCTCTTGATATTCTCTGGAAATGAATGAATTCTTGTCGTTCACTGAACCGTGGTTTGCCGTTAATAATCTCACACTTTCTAAACAGTGTCAAACGTCATTTATCCAGGTCTAAGTTTTTTCTTCTGATCTAACATCGAAGAAAACTCTCCGTTTCAACTCATTATATAAAGAGGCTACATAATATTTGTATTACTCGACATATGCATTTATACATTTGAAATCATCAATCAATCAGTGATTGTTAAACCACCATTGTGGTGGTGCGCGAACGCCTAACCATCGGACCACGGTCCCGGACTCCTGCGAGGAGCAGGAGTCGTGGATGTGCACTGCTGATGAGTCCCAGGACGAAATGGCCATCCAGTGCTTCCAGGTTTCTCATGTTGGCCTAACCATGATTGATTGATGATTTCAAATGTGTAAGAACACAAACCTCCAAACCTCTGCCCCAAAATATGCACTTACGATTGGTTAATTCTTTCACATTACCTATATTGTTTCTTTACTTTTCCCCATTATTCTTTCCGCTTCAAATGTTTCGTCTCATTCTTTTGTTTTCTCCTTTTTGTCTTCATTATCATCTCATAAACTAGTTCTGGTGTTCGATGGAGTCAGGTAAAACGTGGTGATCGTTTGAAACCATTACAAATGGTTCTTAATGAAAATTTAGAACGTGCTTATACAGATTATGTGAATGCATCGAATGATACAGATAAAGCTGCTTTAAGTATTGTCAAACTGGCCAATACAACACATCAACCAATTGAAGTGGATTTCAATCGAATGATGATTTTAAAACCGGATCAATATGAAATACGTCGTGCATTTGATCCAGGTGTATTTTTACAATATAAATCATCAATTAGTCAAATGCAATTACATGGTAAATTGTTTCAATTACAGGTTAGTGAATGAATTTTGTTTGTTTTATTTTTCTACTTTTTATTATATATAAAGAGTGAATTTTGTTTTGTATTATTCAAAAAAAACTTCAATTTTTATCAATAAGCATTCACCGACGGTTTATTTTTCTGTTTAGCGTTTTTTCGGTAAGTTAGTTTTTTGGTGAGATGGGGTGGCCAACCCCATGCTCAAACCTCCTCCTTTATCAGGGCTTGGGACCGGCAGTAGCCCGGAAGGTTCTACAGGTGGAGAGAAACACGGTATGCAATGGACTCATAGGACGCAACTGGAAGATCTGGACTTCGCAGATGAATCTGGCTCCTCTATCTCACACGCAAGAACAAATACAAGAGTAGACGACCAGTGTAGGTCTCAACATACAAAAATGGAAAAGCAAGATTCTACGATACAACACAACATGCATCAACCAAATCACTCTTGATGGACACACATTGGAGGACAATAACACCTTTACATATCTAGGCAGCATCATTGATCAGCAAGGTGGATCGGATGCAGATGTGAGGACGCGGATCGGCAAAGAAAGGGCTGCATTTCTACAATTGAAAAATATCTGGAACTCCAAACAACTATCAATAAACGCCAAAGATAGGAATTTCAATACAAACGTCAAGACAGTTTTACTGTATGGAGCGGAAACTTGGAGAACTACGAAATCCATCATCCAGAAGATACAAGTATTTATGAACAACTGTCTACGCGAAATACTTCGGATTCTTTGGGCAGACACCATCAGCAACAACTTACTGTGCGAGAAAACGAACCAGATTTCAGCTAGGGAAGAGATTTGGAAAAAATGGCTGGGGATAAATAGGACACACATTACGGAAGGCACCCAACTGTGTCACAAGACAAGCCCTCACATGGAATCCTCAAGGCCAAAGGAAAAGAGAAAGACTAAAGAACACACTATGGCGAGAATCGAAAGCTGACGTGAACAGAATGAATAGTAATTGTGTAGAACTGGAAAGAAATGAATGCTCAGTATAGAATAGGTTGGAGAATGCTGGTCGGCGACCTATACTCTATTGAGGGTAACAGGCCTAAGTCAATGAGTGAGTAAGTAATTAAGTAATTCGTTAACTATTTCTGTTACGGAGCATCCCCAGCTATATAACTTTAAATACCCACATAACAGTAAACACATAATCTAAATACTCTTGAATAAAGTATGTACTATATCCCAAAATCTAACTGGCAACCATTAAGGAAAAACTAAATCAATCCAAAGATTTATTTCTACTCTAGTAAACGTATAAAACACGAAAAAAGGTGTTGTTGTTGTAGTGTGTGTCCTTAAGAAACCGTCATTCAAGATTTCAATTACATAACATATGACCTAAATATTAGAATTATGAGCTAAACTTTAGGAAACAATTTAGTTCCCCACAGTTTTATGTCTAATCGCAAAACTATTCAGGATTACTCAAGCAAGCATGGAGTCTTCAGTTTCTATAATGATCCACTAATAAAAAAGTATAACAAGTTGAGAAATTCCCTAAATAAGTTGGTGGACACCGTTTGTAATGAAACGTTATAATTCAATCAATATATTCAAAACTGTTATACTACTGAATACCTGATGCGTTAATCATTTAGGAAGTTTTATTTTTCACCCATAGGAATTCGGCTTTCATCATCAGACGTCATAACTCTTCTGAATGAAGACCTTCTAACTCTCACGGCAGAGTTAAAATATTTTGAATTATTTTTTCTGTGTAGTGTTATTGAGTGAGTTAGTTTTCTACGGGATGGGGTAGCCAAACCTTCTCCTTTATCCGGGCTTGGGGCCGGCAGAAGCCCTACAAGGGTTACGGGCAGAGTTTTGTAAGTATCATATCACTGATTATTTGATGTGACTACAAGTGTTTGGGGAATTAAATGCATTTGTATTCTAATTACCCTTTATTGGTTTAAAACCTAGGTCCAATGACTAATACTGTTGACAACCATTAATCATGGAACCATTGAACGTACCTCAAATGGAACATAGACCACCGACCATTTCTGGCTAGTGTATTTTTAGCGAGTTGGCTTTTTACGAGATGGAGCCACTAACCCTCCTTTATCCGCGCTTTGGATCGGCAGTAACTTCAGAAGGGTTCCTGCTGGAGTTGAACCATTGAAATACTAGATTATATAATAATAGTCGATATTTTAATCACTGGTTTCTCGTTGTTTAAAACTCTTGCTTACAATTTTAAAAAATATACTTAAACTTTTTATTTGACAGTTATAATTTATTGGAACCTCTTTTTAATAAGTGTCTCCTCTTTCTCTATCTTTTTTTCGTTTTATTTCTTAGGTTGATAGTCAACGACTTGATTCCACTTTTCCTGTTGTATTATCAGCTTTTCCACAGCCGAAGTCTGTAGCACTTGATTCAGGTAATTAACATGTGTTTCATTAGTTACTTTTTTTGGTCTGAACAAAATAACAGAAAGTTATTCGGATGTTGACTAGCTGAATAAGTCGCATATTATACTGAGTTTGGAAGATAGCAGTCTACTTATTATAGTCATAGATGTTGTTGCATGAAAGTAGGGAGAATCCGCTCTCACATGGCCAAGCATGTATAGCCAATATCAGGGAAGTGTCTTACTCACAGGATTCTCATGGCGGAAGTGTTGTTCACAAAACTGAGAGGATTCATTCCAAATATCCTTTGAGATGGGGGGTGCAGAATATCCAGCTAGGGCGATTGGAAAACCCTGATTGTAAACTAAAGGTCGATTACCAGCTACCATATAACTAAATCTCCTGATCTTGCTTCAATGCCTTTTGGATTCGCTTCACATCTTCTCAATTTCATAAACAACACTTGCGCCACGAGAAGTTAATGAATGGGACTTATCTGATAGTGACTATGCATATGTTGCCATATGAGAATATTTGGAGATAGAGAGGGAGAGAACTGTCTTCACTCTTGGTCGTATCAGGATATCCAGGTGAATCACATACACATATGATTTTGTTCTGTTTACTACTTATAATATAATCTATTGATATTTTACAGGTATTAAACCATTATTCGAATGTTCAGCAATTATTGGACGTACAGCAAATCCAGGTTCATTTCGATTTAAGTAAGTTTATTATTAACAATAATATCATGATTATTGTTATTCATAATTTCTTTATCCTAAATATTTATGAGTTATAAATATTGTTGTAAAGTTTAAACTAAACAACCATTTCATCCTTGAATCAGGACTGTTTAGTAGTGTAGTGTGTTCATGCACCACCATTCTGCATCCTAAGCTTAAACTTAATGCCTTTCGTTTCATGCATGAATTCTTAACCTCTAACTTACTGACTCAGAACATACAATGGTATACAAATATAACCTCCATTAATTATATTTGTTATCTTCATCTTAGTAGGAATTATGCACAAGTTAATCAGTTTGAATTTATTTTATGATGTAATCAAAGTTCTATACTACTAGAAGCATTCCTTGACTGTTGACTGAATCTCTCTTGTCTTTCAAATAAGATGGAATGGTGGCATTCACTTTATTAAATTAATTGAGATGACTTTGGAAGTAGAGATTTTCATTAATCACCTAAAATTACGATTCTGGTTAATAGAGTGAGGGTGAGTGCAATCGTAAAAGAGGTTGAACGCTGGGGGTAGGGAAGAAGAACTAAGAAGTTTCATATCCTTAAAAATTTACTCCTATAAACTACATAATGCTCGTAAGTTCATTGCTACAGTCGAGACTGAGGAGAGTCTATGTTCCCTCCGAATCCTCTCATATAACCACATGTCAGATAAAACCTACTCATTAAATTCTCGTGGAACAAGTGTTGTTTACGAAATTGAGAGGACGAAAAGCAAATGTCTGATGGAGTCTTAAACTTGGTTTGTGGATACAGAGGATCGGTCTAGGCGGGTAGTTAAGAGACAGACCCTGATTCCAAACCAATAGTGTACATGAACTCCAGGATCCTGAGGAAACGAATGGCGTATAAACCTGCTGTTGACGTTCGGTTACCATGCCCCACTGTTTTATAGATTAAACCTGTAGATCAAAGATACAGGAAATGGTCTCCTAATAAAAAATCTTCTTTGGTTTGGACAGCCGGATGATATCCTCTTCCTACTTACTAATTCAATAATTTGTGGGTTTGGTGCCTAACTATTTTTAGGTTCCTTTCTTTGTGTTCGAATAAATGAATTAAATAAATTGTGCTCCTAATAAGTGGTTGGGACATGTGTTACGAATGCCTAACCACCGACTGCCTCGACGAGCTATGTTTTGTGGTATAGGAGTAAGTTGGAAGAAAGCTAGGGGCGGCCAAACCAAAACATGGCAGAAATCCATGAAGTCACTGACTAGTGGACTGAGTCATGTTGGTAGATGAAGGCTACCTGGTTGGGGTCAGCGAGACGATAGTCACCAATGGTTAGAGACCTTGAATGACATGGCTCAAAATCGTTTACAATGACGCAAGTGCATCCATTCGTTGAGCTCTCTCAAATTCTAATCTTCTGGATTCGTCAGCACCTCTACCTTTGTCTTAAAACTTTATCTCACTGAATTATACTTCTTAAATAATATCTTCGAACCCTAATCTTCTTCATTACCATTAATACCTCTACTATCTTTATCACTATGGGATTCGATTTGACATTTGCGTCTCTGTGCTGTGGTATGGCAACATGAACTAATGTACTTACGTACGAAGTTCTACGTTGCAACTGACTGACTGACTGTTTCTAATAAGTTGTTAGTTTACAATTTAATGCTCAAATTCCTTAATCATTTTTCTGAACATTAATGTGTATTTCATTATCAATCTGTTCACATAACTAGTGTATGTAATAAAAACAAGAGATATTTAGAATGTTAACTAATCACTTTAAATCAGTGAATAATTTCGAATCAACTAATATGAACAGTTTGTGTGTATTGTTGGAATTTTCGCAGTTTATACCATGAACAGGCTTTCATCAAACATTCATTGAAAACTGTTAAACACTGAATAGCTCTCTCATTGTTGTATTCTGAGAATAGCCCTGTGATTAGTGGAGTATGTTGTTATAGAGTTAGTTACCTATCAATGCTGGTTGTTCAAATATTGTGAATAGATTGAAATGTTACCTGTAAGTTATTCAGTACTAACTTGACAACGTAAACCCTAAACACACGCACCGCCATATGTAGAGTCTCTGGTTTTGATCTGCGATGAGTTTAAACATAGATGCTAATTAGAAGTCTTATGTAACCTTCTGAATTCCTCATCACCTTTATCTTTCTATTTCTAAAGTTATATCACTGAAATTAAACTTCTCGAATCATATCTTCGAACCATAATCTTCTCCGTTACCGCTAATCTTTCTATTATGTCTACCACGATGGGATTTGAACTGACAGTTGCTTCTTTGTGCTGATGCGGTATGGCAACCTGAACTGATGATGAAAGCTAGGGGCGGCTAAACCAAAACATGGCACAAATCCATGAAGTCATTGACCAGTGGACTTGGCCATGTCGGTAATTGTCGACTACCTAGTTGGGGTCCGAGAGATGACAGTAATCGATGGTTAGATACCCTGAATGACATGGCTCAAAACCGTTTGCAGTGGCGCCGGTGCATTTATTCTTTGTGTTCTCGCAAATTCTAATCTTCTGGATTCTTCAACGCCTCTAGTTTTGACTTGCTAAACGTTTGTCACTGAATCATATTTCTTGAATATCTTCTAATCCTAACCTGTCCGATTACTTCTAATACCTTTACTGCCTCTTCTACTATTAGATTTGAATTGAGAATTATATCTGTGTGCTGATGTGGTATGGCAACATGTACTGATGTACTTACGTACAAAGTTCTACGTTGCATCTGACTGACTGATTTACTTACGTACGTAGTTCTACATTGTAACTCACTGACTGGCTGTGTAAGGATCAGACAGCTCTATATTACTCCTTAACTTTTAAAGATTCCCTTTACTAACTGTTAATCCATAGTGTTATTGATAGAATCTTGTATTTAAGTTAGTAATTATTGATTTCTACTATAATGATGCTTTTTATTTCTCTTATTTATAGATATTTCCGTGTTCTAATACAAGAAATGCAGCTGAAACTTGATCAAGGCTTTCTTTATGATATCACTAATTTCTTTGGTTCCACTGTAACACGTACATCTAAGGTTAGTGTTTATCAATAATAAAATTGTGTATATGTGTGTGTGTGCGTGTATTATTTCATTTCTTTATCTGTTGTAACAAGTTTACATTCATCGGTTTTACTTTTAATCTACGCGGTTGTTCATCTCACCTAAACTTGATCAACAATGATTGATTGATTGATTGATTGACTGACTAACCAATCCGCAACCAACAAAGTCTATTTTAATCACAAATATGAAAGCATTTTAGTGGATAAAATTTTCTTTTTATTTCGATGATTTTATCTGCCAGAGTTGTACAATTGTAATTAATTATAGCGATATTTTTTTACTACAAGTACAGTGAACTATTACGTCATTATCAGAGAGAAGAAGAAAAGTCATTGAGAATTCAAAGTTACATAATAGTCAAAGGTGATAATAAGAAACAATATGGAAATGAGATATCAAAGTCTAGCTACTTGATGTTTATAAGGCAAATAAAACTATGATTGATTACATAACATAACATAACGTAACTGTTACGCTCGCACGTAAACACGTCAACTTGAAATACTTGAACTATTACGAGTTTACCTAGTCGGAAAACGAGAGCGAGGATCGAGAATCCGGTGACACGACATACTACTCAAATCCGATTATCCCAACCCCCATATTTAGTTAAAAATAAGAAGACGTGATATGTAGTGGAACATGTATTCTACAAGCATCCAGAAAGTATGAGGTCCGAATCCAGAAGAGAATCAGGATCCCGGACTAGGGATCCGGGACCGAGCCCTGGTCGTGGTCAATAAACGTTACAAATAATGCGTATTTATACATTTTGGTCGAATAGGAAACAGCATCAAATTCTGTGACATTGACAGTTAAGACGACCAATAAGAAGTAACATTTGAAGTGACATTGAAAGTCAGGACAACCAATAAGAAACAACATTGAAGTATCTGACTTGGACAGTTATAACGACCATAATTTGGACCAATGGAAATCGACCAATAGGATTTGACCAATAATTCTCCTAGGATATTGGATCAATATCCTAACAGTAACATAAGATACAGAATAAAGATCTTTATTATCCTTGATACTTGGAGAATATATTTAAAGAGAGAGAGAGGAAACAAACACTTGTCAAGAAATAACCAATGTATAACGATATCTTTATGTAAATTGTTAGTAATGTGACATTGGAAAGAAAATTTCCAATTATCTTGTCGGTATAAAGATTCGACGTTTTTATATAGTCGGTAGTGGATTATTGGCTTCAAATTCATCTCTAATGATGATGATGATGTTAATGTCTAAGATCCGCTGTTTTCTGGTCACAATCCATTGAGGTGAATGCTTTCTTCACAAAATAATAATTTGAAAAAAATTTCATAAATGTATACGATTGTATACTTACTTACTTACTTATTTACGCCTGTTACCCCTGATGGAGTACAGGCCGCCTACCAGCATTCTCCAACTCACTCTGTTCTGAGCCTTTCTTCCTACTTCTATCCGAATGTTCATTCTGTTCATGCCTGCTTCCAATTCTCGACGTAATATGTTCCTTAGTCTTCCTCTTCTCCTTTGGTCTTGAGGATTCCAAGTAAAGGCTTGTCTTGTGATGCAGTTGAATGCTTTCCTCAATATGTGTCCTGTTTACTTTCAGCTCTTCTTCTCGATTTCTTCCTCAGCTGGAACCTTGTTCTCTCTCGCAGTAGGATGTTGCTGATGATTTCTAAACAACGGATCCGCGTTTTTTAGCGAATTGATTTTCTACTGAATAGGATCGCTAACCCCATGCCCAACCCTTCTCCTTTATCCGGGCTTGGGACTGGCAAGTAACCTCACAAGATCTCCAGTCAGAGTATTTAAAATTGTATACCTTGATAATAAATTCATTGACAAGAGATCCTTTTCACTGAATTTCATGTTTTTAATGTTCAAGTAGGAATTATACCACTAACGTTCAATAAAAAAAATTTATTTATGTCTTGTACATTACATATGACATGTATCAATAAATCTACTCATATTACCACCTATTAATTTAAATAATCCAAACATTCTAGGTGGAATGTTTAAAGGTGAGAGAGAGATAGAGAGTATTTGGAATGGTTGCATTTATTATCTCATTCAGTCAAGTTCATATTTGTTTGACTATTTTACTATTTAATTACATTCTCTCTACAAATGATCATTTAATTCCTGATTCTCTTTTATCAATGAACTTGGTTTGTTTGTTTTACATATAGTTTGATTGATTTGAGTGATATTGTTCTTTTCTTTTCGATTTAAGTTAATCGTTATTATTATTATTATTATCATTATCATTATTATTATTATTATTATTATTATTATTATTATTATGAACTTATCACTGTTGATGTATTTGTTTGATGATGATGATGATGACCTTATACAAATGAAATGATCCATAAATGATTGTTTCATAATTGTTTTTTTTTACATCTGTCTGTCTATCTATCTATCTATATACTGCTGCTGATTGATTATCATCATTGGTTTGCCAGTGATAAAAATTTTCATTATAGTAGGGTTGTAAAGATTTGTTGAGTTACTTATTGAAATCATGAATTGATCAATGTTAGATCATTAGATCACTAGAAATCTGGAAGCACTGGACGGCTGTTTCTTCCTAGTATGGATGAGACTTATCAACAGCGCGCATCCACGACGTCCGCTCATGGGTATTGAACCTAGTGTGGTCCAGAGTTTAGGCGTTCGCGCGTGAGACCAAAGATCCTTAATTCGATCCTCGCGAGTAGGGGTCGTGGATTTACACTGCCGATGGGTTCTATACTAGGATGAAACGACCATTGCAAGTCTCCAATGGTTGTCTAGCACTAATCGATTCATGATTTAAATGATAAAGATTTTGTGTAACACGCGTAATCAGCAGTCATTGAAGGGCAGAGAGGATCTAAAATCACAACATACAAGGTTAGTTCAACACCTCACACCAAGAGAGAACACGAAGTTGTTGTCACGGCACTCGTTTATTTGAAAATCAAATACGTGGGGTTTTTTACAGGAATAGGGTGGGTAGTGTACCAATTTCTTATGAGTCATCCTGTAAGTTTAGAGCACTCAGGGCTTGTTCTTCAACTTCCAAGGCGTGTTTATGTTTGATCGCCCTGAAACAGAAAGAAAACAGAACGAGTTAGCAACATCATACATAGTGATTTTGACTCCGTTACAATTGTCTTTCTCATTTGAAGAAAATAAAAATTTATCATTTCACTTATTTCAATTAATCAGTGTTATAAGCAATGTAATAATCTGACACATATGTACCAATTGAAGTTGCCTATGTCGAATCAATATATCGAAATGAAATTATTGAGACGCATTGCAGAATAGTAGAAAAATAGTAACAGTATCCAGTGATACTGTAATGAATGAATACGTCAGTTTTATTTGATTTCGACCAATTTGATTTCGTGTTGTGTTACGGGTATGAGGGCGGTTGTAACTTCCCGGCTGCCCACACCGTGGAAGGTTGTTTCTTAAGGGACCTTGAAAGAAAGATAGATTAATGTTGGTCTTAGAGACCTGAGAGCGTGACTTCAGAGCCCAAGGGCAACTGCTTGAGGCCGGTCACGCACGGCCTTTTTATGAAAGGTTTTTTGAGTATTAGCTCCGCTCTTGAAAGCCCTTCATGGGCAGCACTTACCTCCGGAGACGGAAATCCGTGAGGTAGAGGAGGTGTGACATTTTTAGGGTAGACCTTTTCTAACCCTTCCTTTCTTGTAAGAAGACAGCATCACTGCAGATGCTGGTTATCCGACGGAAACACCTTACTGCTGTCACACCTCTCTGCAGTCAGCAGTACGACTTCGCCCTCAGACGTTGAGCAGCTGCTTTTAGTCTCATCGTTCTTCCACCGAACTGCCTGCCTGGCATGGTAGAACCTTCAAGAACATATGTTCCAGCCAGTATAGCTCGGTTGGGTCATGACGATAGGCAAGCCGGACCACCACGTCATGATAGCAGCTACGGTCGGTCAGTTTTAATAAAAACATATATACACCGTATCTTTAGACTTTTGTTTACAAATTAATCATACTATTTATTATGTCTTTTTCCACATATAATCTGATTCTCAAAACTCTATTATTGCACCATTAATTTCGGATTCGACAGTCTTGTCTGTTCATAACTTCTGAGTGACACTCCAGTCCATACTACTTACAAGACACATTGCAAGTAGTATCCATCACAACAGAAAAAAATACTACGCATAGATAAGAACGAATAAATTTGCAGAGTAGAAAAGTTATTGAAAATAGTTTCTTGAAAGTCTAGATCAAAATTTCAACAATTTCATGAATACACCTATGCAATAGCGATTGATTCCGAGTCATATATTACTCAACCATTTTCCATAAACCCATCGTTCGGTCACAATCAGTTTTGCCTTTTATTCACAGCGATTTATCACATACACATGAGATTTAAATAGGAAATCATGTTCACCGACATTTTCTGATATTCATCTTTTCTGTTTGTCTGCTTGTTTGTTTGTGTGTTTATCAATTCTCATAATTTGCCCAATGTGCATTTATCCCCCCCCCCAATCCATAATAAATAAGTCTTGTTTATTTCATTCTGATTGAATGAGAATGTTATTTGCTTTATGGCTACTACATATTTTTATTTCGTCATCATCATCAACATCCTCATCAGCGTCATGATTCAATCTGTTTTTCTTTTGAATGCCCGCCCGCATATTTTTGAATGAAATATAGCGCTTAAATCTCTTCCGTATGATATCGTTATTATTTTACTATGACCTTGTAACATTGATCATTATAACAAAACAATAATGGTGATTATTATTATTATTATTATCACATACCTTCATTGAATTCCATGCCTTTCACTTTGTTTCATTTTACAAAACTATTCCAGGAGGAAGCATTCAAACATGATTATTTATTGATTACTAGTAAACTTATTGATTCACCACTTGTACAAGCTCATCTTCAAGATGGAAATCGATCGATTTTTGATAATTTTCATATTTCACCAATTAAAGTAAGTTTATATCTATGAGTGGAAAGGGTGTGTGTGTGTGTTTTTCATTTTCGAACATTTTCCTAACATTATTGAACTGTGTCAATGAAATTTGAACTACACTTCTGGTTTACTTGTGAGGTTCAATAGATAAGTGTTTTTTAAAAAAGGATGCAAGCAATAAAACCAAAAAGTGGACACTTATCGAAAATTTAGTGCATTTTTCCAAATGATGAACTGTTTCATCAAATCAAGTTGGCATTCATTATGAATTATCTTAACTCTTTTGGGGTTAAGACTCTTCAACTCTGAGTCAGTCAGTCATCCAGTCAGTTAAAACGTAGAACTTCGTACGTACATACGTACATCAGTTCAGGTTGCCATACCACAGTTTGATTTTTTTTGTGATTAGCATTTTTCTAGTGAGTTTCTTTTTTCGTGAGGTAATAGTTGTTAATCCAATTACTTAACCCGAGTTTAAGATCTGAAGTAACTCTACACAGAGGAGCTCCAAGAGGAGTTAACCCTCCCCTTTCTTTATTAAACATAGAATAATGTCATCTAACAGAAATCTAAGGTCGTGAGGAAAAGTTCAAGAGTATAGTTGAGTAATTAGAAAAATGAAATGAACTTAAAGTATTAGTGTATATGTGTGCTACTCCATTTGTTCATACCTTCCTATAGTATACAAAAATCCAATGAAATGACACCAAGAGCGTTGAAATAGTTAACAATACTTCCTCGTGTTACTAATCATCAGAAAATTATCTTTTAGGGGCAATAGTTATTATTTGTGTATTTTAATGATGAACTAGTTAGATTAATCCCCATTATTCTTCAATAATTCATAATTGAATTAAATCATTTTAGTGAAAACAGAGTTAGACATCAACACCGTTGGATGCCGGCCCAGTGGTCCGATAGTAAGGCGTTCGCCTACAATATCGAAGGTCCCGGGTTCGGATCCTGCGAGGAGCAGGAGTCGTGAATGCGCACTGCTAATGAGTCCGCATACCAGGACGAAACGACCGTCCAGTGCTTACAGGTTTATAATGGTGGTCTAACAATGATTGATTGATGATTTGAAATGTGTAAAAACGCAAACCTCCAAAACTCTGCCCCAAAAAACATAATGTATTAATTTTGAGCTGCTACTCCAATAAGTCAAAATACTAACTAGTATTAAGTCAGGTAAAATGGATCGGTTAATTTCTCCGAAGGCTTGAGACAAATCCTATGGACTCTATTCAAAAATACTTGCACTACAAGTATTACAAAACAACACAACCAAATAATTTAGTCAACAAGTAAATCAGCACTTCCATTCGTAGTTGGTACAAAAGTATATACAAAGACAAATCTTATACCTTCTATTTCTCCTTATGACATTCCTTCTTATCTGGCGATTCAAGTTAACAATTCAAGTATTTATATTCATAAGAAATGCATAAGTCCTATATATATATATATATATATATATATATATATATATATATATATATATATACCTTGATTATTCACCTACTATACATGCTAATTATTTTGTTTGTTGTACTTACCTTTTATTTCACAAGGTACATGTTAGTTTTTCACTTACTGGTAGTACCGAGGGGAAATCATCAGCTTTTCCAAGTGAAGTACTTAATCTTTTCTTACAATCTCTAGGTGTAGCATTAACTGAAGTACAAGATGTGGTTTTCAAGTAAGTCAGCGTAGAGTAGTTGCAATAGTATCTTTTTTTAAAAAAAATTTATATTATATTGCTTAGTTAGAGTTTTGTGGGAATCAGTTGATTGTATTCGCCTAACCAAAATATGGCATATATCCATGAAGCTATTGACAACTGGATTGAGTCATGTTGATAAGTGTAGACTAGCTGGTCGGAGTCTGCGAGACGAGTCACCGATGGTTAGACACCTTGAATGACATGGTTCAAAATCGTTTGCAATGGCGCAGATGCATCCATTCTTTGTCTTTTCTATTTCTAAAGTTATCTCACTGAACTATACTTCTTGAATCATATCTTCGATTCCTGATATTTTCCATTACTAGTAGTTCTTCTACTATCTCCACCACTATGGGATTTGAACTGACAGTGGCGCCTCTGTACTAAATCGGTATGGCAACCTGAACTTATGATGTGTGTACGTACGAAGTTATACGTTGTAACCGACTGACTGAATGACAAACGGGCACCGTAATATTTACCCATCACACAAGTCATCGAGATGCTATCCGGCTGCCGAAACCAGAACAGGCAGTTTTCCTCTGGTACTACTCAGTGAGCCTTTTTCCTAAAAGTTTGATCTACAAGGCAGTGGAGCAACGCTACGAAGTGTGGTCTCATGGTAGCCAGTGACTTATACTAGGTTCAGGATCCTAAAGCTCATGTGTAATTAGTTTAGAATCAGAATTTGATAGCTCCTCTAAGTGAATTCTCCCTACATACCAACTGATTTAGAGACTTTGAATGACATGGTTCAAAATCATTTGTAATAGCACAGGTAAGTAAGTAACTGACCTGTCCAGTTTAAACCTACTTTGGCTAGATGCTTTTCATCTCTAAATTGTGCATTCATATACTCAGATTTTAATCAAACTTAAGTTTATCATCCATCTTTATCCGAAATATGATATTGTCAACAATTTGTAGTATGTATTTGATTTCAATGTTCAACGCTGTTGAATTATAAAAATTTCAACTAATTTATCAGTCAGTCAGCCAGTCAGTTGCAACGCAAGAACTTCGTAGGTATGTACATAAGTTCATGCTGCCACACCACATCAGCACAGAGACGCAAATGTCAAATCAAATCCCATAGTGATAAACATAGTAGAGGTATTAATGGTAATGAAGAAGAATAGGGTTCGAAGATATTATTCAAGAAGTATAATTCAGTGAGTGAGATAAGGTTAAAACGACAAAGGTAGATGTGCTGACGAATCCAGAAGTTTAGGATTTGAGAGAGCACAACGAATGGATGCACTTGCGCCATTGCAAACGATTTTGAGCCATGTCGATCAAGGTCTCTAACCATCGGTCACTATCGTCTCGCGGACCTCAACCAGGTAGCTTATATCTACCAACATGACCCAGTTCACTTGTCAGTGACTTCATGGATTTCTGCCATGTTTTGGTCTGGCCGCCCCTAACTTTCTTCCAACCTACTCCTACACCACAAAACATAGCTCGTCGAGGCAGTCGGTGGTTAGGCATTCGTAACACATGTCCCAATCACCTCAACTGATGAAGTTTCACCCCTTCATCTATTGATCTGCCATCCTTACCCAGTACTCGTTTCCTAACGACAGCGTTGCTTACTCAGTTGTCCCCCGATATACGAGCAATGCTTCTTCAACATCTATGATCGATTACTAGTAACCTACGAACATCTTCCACTCTTAACGGCCTTGTTTCGCATCCATATAGGAGAACGGAGCGAACTGCTGCGCAGTACACCGGTCCTTTGGTTAGCGAACGGATATCACGCCTACGCCATAAGTGACGCAGGTTGGCAAAAGCTAATCGAACCTTCTGTATCCGAGCTGAGATTTCGTCAGCCACCAGGCCATCGGCACTGATGAGACTCCCCAGATAAGTGAGGCGATCAACACGCTCGACTACTTCACTCCCTATCACTAGTTCAGGTGCCAATGCAACCCAGTCTTGAAGCAACATTTTGCATTTCGAGGGGGAAAACCGCATCCCGAACATGCTCGCATTGTTGCTTATGGTAGTCAGAAGACTCTGCATTTTGTCAGCGTCTTCACCGAATAGAACTATGTCATCGGCATATTCTAGATCAGTAAGCGACTTTCCTGGTAGAAGGTCAACCCCAGAAAAACCTGACGAGCTTAATGTTAACTGTAAGAGGATGTCTACGACAATGTTAAACAAGAATGGAGAGAGTGGACATCTCTGACGGACACCACTTGAGGTAAAGAATTCCGATGACAGTTCGCCATATACTGTCACCCGACCAGTAGTTTTCGAGTAGAGAGCTTGGTATAAAAAGGTTAATGTACTTCTTTGGTACACTTTTCAATTTATCTGATCACAATAATGAACTAGATGAAGTAGAATAGATTTGATCACTTTTCAAATTTCATCATAATCATCATCATCAATTCATTCTTTTTCATTGATTCGTTCTCTCATTGTTTCCTTTCAGATTAGATTATTTTGAACGTCAAGCATGTATTATGACCCTAAGCCAGATGAGTACAGAAATTACACATCATTATGTTGGTCAAGGTGTTAGACAAATGTATGTACTAGTTTTAGGATTAGATGTATTGGGCAATCCATTCGGTGTACTACGTGGTTTAGCTCAAGGTGTTGAAGATTTATTTTATGAACCAGTGAAAGTAAGTTTTGTTTTGTTTTTTACTCTGTTGAGTTGTTTTATTGGTTAATCAATGGATTGATTTGTAATTTGTAATTTCCTGCTTAAATGGATTATGTATATTATTTATTACAGGGTGCTATTCTTGGTCCAGAAGAATTTGCTGAAGGTGTTACACTAGGTGTACGAAGTTTATTTGGTCATGCTGTTGGTATGTCAAAGTTACTGGTTAATTTTTTTTTTTAGTTTATCATCAATTATTTGACATTCATTTTATTTATGGTTTACTTCATGAACAGATATTAATTCTTGATTATAGCTGCTACCTTGAGGTGGTGGCCAGACTTGCCTATCGGGATGTGCTAGTTATATTGTATTCCTCCATGTCCTATCATTCCAAATAGGTTGAATGGAGAACGGTAACTCAAGGTCTGAGAGTGAAGTCGTATTGCAGATTTTAAAGGGGTGTGACGGCGGTAAAGTGTTTCCCTCGGTTAACCAGCAGCTGACAACGGAAGGGGTCGGAAAAGGTCGACCATAAAAGTGTCTCACCCTACTTTACCCCATAGATTTCCTTCGCTGGTAGTAAAGCCATTTGAAGAATGAAGCTAACACTTCAAAATCTTTCCATAAAAGAGCTGTGTGTAACCGGCCTCAAACATTTGTCCTCTGCGGTCACGCTCCCAGATCGTTGAAACCCAACACTTACCCAACTTCCTTTTCAGGTTCTTCAGAAAACACTTCCACGGTGTGGGCAGCCGGGAAGTGACATCCGCCCTCATATCCCTGACAACACACAAGACTTACTGACTAATATTATAAATAAACGTTTGGAAACTGGGAAACACCGAATATGTGACTCTTCGTTAGTGAACGTTCACAGTCCCATGAGAGATCACACTCAGTATCTTTAGGTTTACATGTCAAGTACCAATTCATCAACAACATTGAACAACGAACATCCAACTTTGTCTTTAGGTAACAGTTATTAACAAGAACAAAGATTAGAAGAATGATAACTCCCTAGACTTGTAGATTATTACATATATTCTCAATGTATTGTAATTACGTTTTAACCATGTTAACTAATGTCTTAGGATTTAGTCTTCCCTATTCACAATCACTTTTTGGCTTGTCTTTGTTTGGTCGTTATTTTTTTTTAATTGTTGTGTAACACGGTCATGGTCTGCTTGTATATAAACAACATCTATCTAAGATAGAAATATTAGTGTTGGCTGACTTCTAGATTCTCAAAGCACAGGCATAACAAAGCTAGACAATTGTGAACCAATAGAAATCTAGCCGCCAACTCAAAGTTTTCAGCATTGAAATGTATGCTGATTATTGTTGTTTTTTGTCACGTGAATTTAGTCAAAGGTCAAAAGACCTAATATTTTAACTGTCTCACATTTTATGTGGTTGAATTCCGCTGGTCATATAGTTTCTGCTCGAGAAATTCAAGAACTACATTCCAAACTAACTTACTTGATAAATTGTATGATGTTTTTATTTTATTTAAGTTACTGTTCTACGAATATACTGATTCTAATGAGCGAAGTTATCCGATATAGTATTTTCAATACGTTCATAATACGCTCAGTGTTACAAATGTGAGGAGATCACTTAATTTTTATTAACGTAGAAAAGTCTCGTGAAATGACATGGCTCCAAATCGTTTGCAATGGCTCAAATGGGAATTCTACTCTTCTGAATTTCTCATTACCGTTTTTACTCTTTTTAAATTCGCCCCATTAGATTATACTTCTTGAATCATATTTTTGAACCCTAATCTTCTCCATTACCGCTAATACTTCTACTGCCTCTACTACTACTGGATTCGGATTGATAATGGCGTCTTTGTGTTAGCATGATATTGCAACTTGAACTGATATACGTACGTACGAAATTCTACGTTATAGCTGACTAACTGACTGGAAATAAGTAACTAAAGTGATTTTCAGTATGGTTTTTTGAAATCCTTCACTAATCCACCTCTTCTTTTACTCCTCCTCCTCATCATCATTTAAAGGTGGAGCAGCTGGTGCAGTTTCACGTATAACTGGTACAATCGGTAAAGGTATTGCTGCTTTAACCCTAGATGAAGATTATAAACGTAAACGTCGTGAACAATTAGCACGACGTCCTGAAACATTTGGCGCTGGTCTTGCTCAAGGTGGTCGAGGTTTATTTATGGTAAGTCAGTATGGGTCTATCGCATTTAAATGTGTTTATGTACGTTTTTTCTTATTCAAAAAAAATCACTTACCGAATGAGAATTTTTTTTTCCTCTTTTGTAATTTCTTAGGGTGTATTTCATGGTGTTACTGGTATGGTGACAAAACCTGTTGAAGGTGCTAAAAAAGAAGGAGTTGAAGGTTTTTTCAAAGGTATGCATATTTGCGTGAATAATTTAAATTTATCAGTATAGAGTTATGGAGATTGTTGAATTCCATTTAAAATCATGAATCGATGAATGTTAGACCACTTTGGAGAACCTGAAAACACTACTGAAGAGTTTCATACTTGGACGAAACGGCTGTCCAGTGCTCACAGGTTTTCAATGTTGCTCTAACATTGATCGGTTCATGATCATCTGGACTAATTAATTTGATTGGTATAGCTAATCATTATTCTTGAATTACTCATATTAATTAACGGATGAAGTTTTGTGCTGGTGTTGGATGCTGTTTACTTTCTCTCTCTCTCTCTCTCTCTCTCTCTCTTGAGCTCACCCTCACTGCTCAAACTGATGAAGATCGGACTAGTCTCTGTCATTCTTTCGTAAATATGGACTACCTGAAAAGTTTGAAGTAAAAATTTATGCGTTATGTAGTAGAGAAGTGGATAAATAAATTATTCCTCTAGCTTCCTGACCGAATTATCTTTAGGATGGCCTAACAGGTCTGGTACAAACTAGAGCCATGACTATAAACTGTACCGTAACCAGTGGACAGAGTCTGAGGCTTAACTTTATGTGATATGAGCGTGAATAAGCAGATCATCAAATGAAAACTTCGAATCAACGGTTTAAAAGCCAAATACTTCATTTATTTCCGATTACTACTGAGTTCTAATCTGATGCACAAAAATCGAATCACATCCATACCTATGTATTTACTATGGAATGTACAGGCTACATCTCATTGCAAGTATATCCGAATGACAACTTCCTTATAGGACGAAACGTTCATGTTGGAAATCGTTATATTTCATGTTACTTTCTGGTTAGCAAGTTGGTTTTCTACGGGATAGGGGGTCGCTAACCTTCATGCCCAACCCCTCCTCCTTGGACTTAAGACTGGTAGTAACCCCAGCAGAAGGACTCTAGGCGGAGTTTTATGTTTCGTGTGGATTTCTAATAAAAATCTTTCAATCTTCACATATTCTGAGATCGCTCTAATTCTTAAATAATGGTGAATAAATCTATTGTATATTACACTTGTACATTACCTCGTGAATGATATATTCGATCATTCATCTTTTTTGATTACTGCTAATACTTCTACTACCTCTACTACTATGGGATTTGAATTCATACTGGCGTCTCTGTGCTAATGTGGTATGGCAACCTGAACTGATGTACGTACATACGGAATTCTACGTTGTGGTTGAGTAGCTGACTGATATTACATTCCTTATGGTATAATATCACTTGTATTGTATAATCACATCTGTTAGTGGGACATAGATGAGATTAAAGCATGAATGAATACGTTAGCTGCACGCTGATTGGCCAATTCTTATCCAATCAGCGTTAGTCGATACTCGGAGAACATTCTAGAGGCTTCTCTTGGAAAAAAACTATAAAGATACTAACGTTGTTCCTATTTCGTCTTCGCTTCGGCTTCTTACTTTCATTTAACCTTTCTATTCGGAATATAATCTTTTCCTGTTCCACTGTGTTTTGATTTGGGGGCACTTGTCAAGTGGATTGATGTCCGAGAATATTAAGCAATAGGAACAGCTGGGTTCTACTGAGAGAGAATTACAACAAC